AAAATATTTTTCACGAAAATGCATTGTCACGCACAACGAGTCTGTGTGCAAAATGTCAGCTCGATTGGATCACGGGAAGTGGGTTAAAAAACGACCAATAGATTTGCACGGTCCTAAGCAAGCAAGAGAACTTAATATAAAGGATTTAAATAAAATAGAGCTGTATAGCTCAGTGGAGCCTTACCTGGTGAAATAAAATATAGTAAAAAAATAGAAACCAACATTCTCCGACCCGAATAGACCACAGTGGTGAAGTATGGTCAAACAACTATAAAAACTGACATGGCGTGGGAAGGCCTTCATCTAGCAGTGGCTTGACAAAGGCACTGTAAATAAGTATAACCCGTAAAAACAAAGTTTTTCACTCTAAATCCTTTATATGCGTGGCGGCTAGAGTCCTCTCGTCCTCTGGCTTGAGATGGCTGCCACCTATGGGTCAGATGATTGTCTGCAGTATTAAACAATTGGTAATTAAATATTTAATTTGTTTTCCCTAAACAGTGTAAAAATTTTGAATTTTTTTTTCGCGAACATAAATTGTCTCGCACAACGAGTCTGTGTGCAAAATGTCAGCTCGATTGGATCACGGGAAGTGGGTTAAAAAACGACCGAAAGATTTGCACGGTCGTAAGCAAGCAAGCAAGCAAGCGAACTTAATATAAAGGATTTAAAAACTGTTGTCGTCATTCAACCGATGCAACACCATGGAGAAACAAACCACCCATACAGTAAAACCTTGGATTGCGAGCATAATTCGCTCCGTATTTATAATCCAAAGCACTCGTATATCAGTTGTGATCACGTGACGCTCGGCAGACAAAGCGTATACACGCACTACTCGTATTGCAAGACCTAGCTCGTTTATCAAATGAATATTTATTTAAAAATTTGCTCGTCTTGCAAAACACTCGCAGACCAACTTACTCGCAATCCAAGGTTTTACTGTATTTACCAATGAACCTCCTGATTGGAAAACACATTTGAAAGCGGCTTTGAGCGATTCCTTTAAAACATACGTACGTGCACGTATAAGAACCGATATTGACGAATACGATGAGACTTTCGACAACTCCAAAGAAAAGCTCAAACATCAAAACAATACTACCCCCCACCCCCTCACTAACAAGCGTAGAGATTCAATGAAACTGGTCATGGAAATGAGATCAGAGGAGAGAAAAAACGCTTCATGTATATCATTAACTGCAGTGGCTACACATAATCAAACAATACGAGGGATTACATCTCATGCCCGTGTTCAGGATGAAGCTTTAAACGTCTCCTGCTGTAATTGTCAATGCTTTTGTTCCTTCTCCAGCATTCAATGCATAAGTCTTAAAATTTTCCAGCACACGGTAGTTAACGTCTTGCCAAGGTTGCGAGGCATTAACTGCTGCCGTATATTCGGAGTTTGTGCGTGTCTCTCTCTCTCATCCTCATCATCATCACGGTGGCTAGGAGATGTCAACTACCTCGCCTGGTATACAGGAGGTCGCGGGTTCGATCCCAACCCTGACGCCTGCTGTTGTATATTCGGAGTTTGTGTGTCTCTCTCTCTCTCATCATCATCACGGTGGCTAGGAGATGTTAACTACCTCGCCTGGCATACAGGAGGTCGCAGGTTCGATCCCAACCCTGATGCCTGCTGTTAGATATTCGGAGTTTGTGTGTCTCTCTCTCTCATCATCATCACGGTGGCTAGGAGATGTTAACTACCTCGCCTGGTATACAGAAGGTCGCGGGTTCAATCCCAACCCTGACGCCTGCTGCTGTATATTCGGAGTTTGTGTGTCTCTCTCTCTCTCATCATCATCACGGTGGCTAGGAGATGTTAACTACCTCGCCTGGTATACAGGAGGTCGCGGGTTTGATCCCAACCCTGACGCCTGCTGTTAGATATTCGGAGTTTGTGTGTCTCTCTCTCTCTCTCATCATCATCACGGTGGCTAGATGTTAATTACCTCGCCTGGTATACAGAAGGTCGCGGGTTCGATCCCAACCCTGACGCCTGCCTTATATTAAGAGTTTGCGTGTCTCGCTCCCCATGCCAGCGTGGATTTTTCCCCGGGTCCTCTGGTTTTTCCCTGCACATTTAGAACAAACGTGCGTTTAGATTGTTTAGCTGCGAGACATTTCCACGTGATAAACCACTTGGACACGTTATCATTTGTGGCCGGGTGGTTTCTAAAAAAACAGCTATACAGATAGTCCCCGAGTTACGATGGTCCGACTTACGATATTTCGATCTTACGATGGCGATAGTGATACGAAAAAATTGTGAAATATTTTTAATTTCGCGCGGCAGGCAAACGCAGCAGTGTACGAGGTACGATACTGTACGTTGGGACGCTGCCGGGATGTACTCATCTCCCGCCTTGTGTGATGCAGATAGGATTGTTTCCCGAAAAAAACTTTCTATTAAATTGCAGTTCACATAGGTAGGCTAAGAATTTACCTCGTTTTTTTTACTTGACATTTTACTGTGCAATACAGTATTGTAATAAATAAATACATACGGTATATAGTTTACACAGTACGGTACTGTAAATTGCTCTGTTTTGATAAATTATCACAATTCTTTAAGACTCCTGGATAGGCTAGGCCATCTTCGACTTGCGATATTTTCGACTTACGATGGGGTCGTCGTAACGCATCTCCATCGTAAATAGAAGACTGCCTGTATAGCTTAGTGAACCTTATCTGGTAAAATAAAAATCGTAAAAAAAAATAGTTTAGTTTTAAACTTCAACATTGTTTTGATCTGTTCCACAACTCCATACAAACAAAGCAACTACCTTTCGTTAACCTTGGTTCTCAACCAGTATATCTACAAGGACTGTTTTCTTGGAATATCTCTTACTTGATACAGCTATCGTGCTGTGACGGTTCCACCTGAAGACGGAAGCTTGTGTTGCCTCCGAAACGTCGTGATTTTTATTATATTTTTATTTTACTTTTATTAATTTTAATTTTAATTTTTTACCTACGTGACTTTACCGAAAAAACCTAAGAATATGAATCCTTGCAGTCACGAAAGCTTCAAATCTAGAATTACTTGGTTATGACTTTTGTCCACATCCATTGCATTTAGAATCAAGCCATTCAAGCAATTTCACACGACTTCTCCCCATCCGCACACTCGGAAACATTCCCCGGATGCAGCATTTCACGTTTGTTTATGCTTTCGCTACATTTCTTGTTGATTTCAATTGCATCCTTACGAGATGTCTGTGGCGCTCTTAATAACGCGGACGGTGTCACGCTGTTCATGCCCACTGCCTGTCCTATTAGCGTCCATTGTTTTTATTACCTGCCAGCGTTGTTTTTTGTTGTTGTTTACACCCAAGTCCACTGTGCAAAATAAAACCCATTATCTCAACATGCTCCCCCACCCCCCATCCGATTCGAAGATAAAAAATTACAAATTGCCAAAATATTGGACAAATGGGATTCAAAGGATGGGTTTTTAGTAGAGACAGGCTGGCTGGGAGCAATTAACCGAATTTAAAGTTAACGAGCGGGCTGGGTGGATGGAAGGTGTTGAGTGGCTGCACCCAAAGATTTATTGAGAATAGATTGAATGGATAAATGGACTAGATGGATGGTCGAGAAGGATCGAATGTATATATTGATTGAATGATTGATGGCTGCCAAGATGGAAAACCTGAGCAATGAATCATTACATGCCAAGAGATGGATATGCAGATGGACATACACAAGGACAAAGACAAATAAACAGACAAACATGTTGATGGAAAGACAGATAAACATTGCAAAAAATGCACGCGCAGAAATTAACAGACATGCAGACGGCATCATTAGACCTCCTTTGCCAGTACCAAAATATAATAAGGGTTTTTTTTTTATAATAGGGAAAAACCCTATTATTATATTTTGGTACTGGCAAAGGAGGTCTAATGATGTAGATGCTCACCCCGAGCCCTCATTACTTTGATAGTGCAATGTCTTTGAGCTGTACGCCTTTTGGCGTCCTCTGGTCTAGCACCAATTGGATCGAGGCTCAAAAGAAAGCCGTCGCTTTGTGTGGACCAATCAGTTTCAAGGACAATGCATATATTATCATGGTGTGTTTTTTTTTGCATTTTGACTGCAAATATTGTGGTTAATGCAGACATGAATCCTTGTAAAAAGGTTTCACTTTTGTTGCCAGAAAAGAGGGGAAAAACCCTATTATTTTATTATGTAGACAGCACGTCGCATAGATAGCCGTACAAAGGAGGATGGACAGAGAAAGCGACAGACGAAATGTCAAATTGAAGGACAGAATGTCATACAGATGGACAGCTGATACAGTCAGTGGATAGACAGAGAAACGGACCACGAGTATGTCACAGGGATAGAAATAATGTGGGAGGGATGGACCACCGGGTGGATTGACAAACAAACAGAGAGATCGATGGACAGAATTCCCAAAGAATGGACGGAAGGACAGCCATGTGAATGGGCACGCAGACATCGATGGGTGTCGCATTCGCAGACAGAACGTCAGTTTGTACGTACGTACGTCAAACTTGTTTCGCAACGTGCGTAGCCAACTGTGATAAGTGGAGGTACGGGGAGGGGGGCACAAACTAAACACAAAAGAATCACGATTTAATTCTTTCGTGACTGCAGGGATTCATCATCTTCTTGGTTCTTTCGGTAAAGTCACGTAGAAGGGAAGTAATAAAATAATAAAAATAAAACATAATAAAATAATTCTCACGACGCTTCGGCCACAACGCAAGCAGCCGTCCCTCAGATGAAGAAACAAGTCACGTAGATAAAACTAAAACCATTTATTACAGTGATTTTGGCTGTAACGGTTCCACCTGAAGACGGAAGCTTGAGTTGCCTCCGAAACGTCGTGATTTAATTCAGTTGTTTTTCATAAATTTTTCACCTACGTGACTTTACCGAAAAAACCAAAGAGTACAACATTCCCCGGCGCCCGGGAATGCTGACGGAGATGGCAGGCGGACGGACGGACGGACGCGTCTCACCGTGAGAAGATGTCGATGGAGATGCGCGACAGGGCCTCGAGCGCATCGGCGATGTGCTGCACCGTCTCCTCCCGTCGCAGGTCGGGCTGCACGATCGGCACGCGGTAAACTTGCGCCTCGCCGCCACCGTCGCCGCCACCGCACCACTGGCGCGCCGCGGCCGGAGCCACGCGCGCCTCCCCGCTAGCACCGCCGCTCGCGCCGAGCTGCGCCATGGTGACCGCCTGGGAAGGGAAACACCGTCAAGGGGGCAGCCATTGGTGACACTACCCCCGCGCTTGTTTTTGTATGTTTCACTTTCCAACTAACGGTCGTTAGTTCTTTCTAGATTTGAAGCTTTCGTGACTGCAAAGATTCATACTCTTAAGTTTTTTCGGTAAAGTCACGTAGGTAAAAAATTGAATTAAAAGTTAATAAAAGTAATAATGGAAATAAAATAAAATAATAAATCACGACGTTTCGGAGGCAACACAAGTCTCCGTCATCAGGTGGGACCGTCACAGCTAAAATGACTGCAACATCTGCTTAGCTCTCTCCTCTAAGGCCTCACAAAATCTCTCATCTCCAACGTCGAAATGATCCAAAATGCCGTCAGATTCCTCACCCGCAGCCTAAATCTGTGACCACAATACCTCAATCCTCAACTGCCTCCCAATCAAATTCCACATCAATTTCAAGATCTCACTCGCCGTCTTTCAAGATCTTGCATGGACTCATCAACACCCAACTCCCTCCTCACATCTCTCCCTTACTCCCAGACAAATATGCTCCAGCAACCAAACAGCGGATAGATCTTGGCTCACGATGATTACGACGATGATTACATATTTAAAGTTAACTTGCGAATGTAAAACATACCAGTAACGCGTCACGATAAAATGTTACACGTTACATTTTACTTCCAGCAGAAACAACCCAATGACATAATACGTTCATGTTTGCCATGTACAAGTAGTACTAATCACATACCTGCATTTCCCATAAATATGCTAAATTCCTCTTGATATGCAAATTATTTTGTCAAGGCGCCCTTCCCCCCTTCTAACCCAGCTTAAATAGACGCTCCAAGCGTGGTGGTGTTTCATTCAGACGCTGTCTCCCCGACAGACCTGGTCTTTACCTGAGGACGGCTGCTTGCGTTGTGGCCGAAACGTCGTGAGAATTGTATTTCATAATGTTTTTTTATTATTTTATTATTTTCCTTCTATGTGACTTTACCGAAAGAACCAAGAAGGTGAATGAATGAATTATACACGAGATAATTCAGATGGTCACATGATCGGGCATGACTATTCAATGGCTCGGGCAAAAGGAAGGGCCTGAGACAATGAACACCTCGGATAGAATATGGCTGCCTGTACCCGTAACACTGCGTGCTGCAACCAATACACACGTTCTCCACCTTGGCGCGTTGTTATTAAACAGCCATGTTGGCCTCGCGAGCAGACTTCAGCGTCGCTCCACTAGGTGTAATAAAAAATTAACCCGTAAAAACAAAGTTTTTCACTATAAATCCTTTATATGCGTGGCGGCTAGAGTCCTCTCGTCCTCTGGCTTGAGATGGCTGCCACCTATGGGTCAGATGATTGCCTGCCACCATTAAGCAATTGGTAATTAAATATTATTTATTTTTTCCTAAAAAGTGTAACATTTTGGAAAAGAAATTGTCACGCACAACGAGTCTGTGTGCAAAATGTCAGCTCGATTGGATCACGGGAAGTGGGTTAAAAAACGACCGAAAGATTTGCACGGTCGTAAGCGCGCAAGCAAGCAAGCAAGCGAACGTAATATAAAGGATTTAAAAAGGGACACAACGCTGCAGCGTTTGCCGCAATCTGTCCGGCTCTCCCCGCTGCCCGACACGGTGGGCGCTTCAAGTGAAAATTAAACGGCAGCAGTCGGCATTGGAGAGGCAAGCTCGGCCGGGCAGAAAAAAGATCAGGGATTTGTTGTGCAGGCGAGGGCGGGGGAGAGCAAGGGGAAGGGAGGGCGGTCAAAGGAGATGCTGCATCACACACCCCTGGAAAAAAGAACCTTGTAACCCCCCCCCCACGCCACCTGCCCAGCTGTAGATTTAAGCTGTTGCTGTGTTTACCATCAGAGAGGGTTGTGGTGTCCCGTTGTAACCCAAACCCACTCATCCACATCACTGCACCCTTGGCTGCCTCAACCACTCGTGTGGAATTATTGTCCAGCCTTGATCCCACGAAACAACATTTGAAGTCTTTCGAACTCGAGCAGAGGTGGTGAATCTTTTGCACAGATTGGTAGGGAGGGGGGTGCTGAGAGAAACGTGAATTCAAGCAGGTGATGTATGGTGATAGTCAGGAAGAGCCAGACGAACGAGAATTAGTTTTCTTTAGGCGCATTGGTAGGATGAATTTCACTATTATAAATATAAAGCAGAAATTACATCAGTTTGTTTGTGTGAAGCAGCAAAAACTCTCCAACGCTGAGCTCTGGCGTCATGAAATTTTCACAGCTCATGCTGTCTGGAATTTCTAAGCGAACACGACTATTTTCAGCTTGCCGCGTCATTCCATTCCCGAGTTGCCAAAATCGACCTGACGTAGAAGTGGGTTAAGGTTGAATGTCCTCGAGTGAAAACATACGATTTAGGTAAATTGATGTGTTTCGGCTTTTATCTTTCTTGCAAACATACATTTTTTTCAGGGATTTTCAGTGAAAGATAAGTGAATATGAAATTTGAAATTTATCCAAGACAAGAATCCAAGTCCCGGGCGAAGCCGGGTAGTGAAGCTAGTTACTACTATAATAGCCCAGAAATGTGTGTAACGTGCGTTACACGTCACTCCACATGCCACCCCCCCCCCCTCATTAATAATAAAATAATCATGAGAGAGTGGATTTTTACACTCACGCGGAAGAAGTTTGAGCAGAAAGATATTTTTTTTCGCAAAGTCGCTTCGAATATGACGTTTCTTTATTTAAAGTTAATCAAATAAATAATTATACGCAGCAACAAAGTGTATTTGGTGTCTTCATTTATTTATTCAGCACTCGAGACAAAAGGTAAGTCAAATTTTTGCTTCTAAATTATGATAAAATATTTACATTTCTCTGTGATTCTCCAGACATTGTATCGAATTCAAATGGATGACAACCCCAGCAAGCGAAAGCAGAAGAAAATAAAGTATCAGAGCAGTGATTTTGAACTAAACGAAGGTGAGTTAAATACAGTTATACAGTGACATGAAGTTAGGTGTTTCATGACTTTCTTTTGTGCCAGATTCACTGCCATTAATACAGTGCTCCAGTGAAATGCAGTGAAGTGTTTGATGACTTCGTTTCGTGCCAGATTCACTGCCATTAATACAGTGCTCCAGTGAAATGTAGTGAAGTGTTTGATGACTTCGTTTTGTGCCAGATTCACTGCCATTAATACAGCGCTCCAGTGAAATGCAGTGAAGTGTTTGATGACATTCTTTCGTGCAAGATTCACTGCCATTGAATTTGCACAAGATACAATTATACTCTGCTCAATTTTTCGTAAATATTACAGCTTCCGTCCGAGGACGGGCAAAACGCCGGTTGAATATAATTTTACAAAAGGACTTCGACACCACCGTCACCAACCTCGATATTTCATCATTTTGATTCCGTTCCACCTTCAATAACTGCCCTCGCTATCACGTACGACAGTACTCCAATTTATGCAAAATTCCTCTTGATATGCAAATTCCTTTGTCAAGGCGCCCCTCACCCCTCCAACCCAGCTTAAATATACGCTGCCAAGCCTGGTGGTGCCCATTCAGACGCTGTTTTTCCGACAGACCTGTTCTTCACCTGAGGACGGCTGCTTGCGTTGTGGCCGAAACGTCGTGAGAATTATTTAATGTTTTATTTTTATTATTTTATTATTTCCCTTCTACGTGACTTTACCGAAAGAACCAAGAAGAATACTCCAATTTGTTCCGCCGGAAGATACCTCGACAGTTGTTATTGTCCGCGTGCATCGCCTGCTCTGTCGCATGGGTTCAGAAAGTTGGACGTGGACAAAGCGAATGGAACAAAGGCGCACGGAGAAAGATGGTGAAATGACACCGGGGGAGCAGATAGTATAGAGCGTGGACAAGAGGACACGTGCAAGTTTGAGACAGCCAAAGCCAAGAACGTCTCTGAGAATGCACACAAACCGCGGAGATGGGAGTGACGAAATCGGAGTATGTGCAGGTACTAATAGAATGTTACATCCGAGGACCGCGAAAAATGAGAACCAAGATCATTATTCACACCGGAGGAATCCGATGAGCTATGAAGTTCTTTTTCAACAGATGTTCAGTAGATGGCGGTGGCCTGGGAATGCCTTCATCCAGCAGTGCATAGACCATGGCCGATGATGATGATGATGATGATGCTAACAAAGACAGGGTGAATTGTAGTGTATTAATATTACCTAACAAAATTACCCACGGTCACTGGATTGGTTGACCCATGGAGGAAAAGAGATAACGAAAGTTCAGCCACGGTAATATAATAGCAGTGTACAGCATGGCCATACTCTTTTCATGATAACGGTAACGAAATGCTGTAAGAATGTTCCCATATTAGCGCAGCGGCAAGGTAAGAACAGCACCAGCGATCCATATTTGTATTTTAAGGTGGGGAATGTGCTAGTGTTACGGACAAATTCTTGTCATTGTGGACAATAACCGTGCCGTTAAACTACAAGCCACGTGACCTGATGGATCGCTGTCACGAGCTTTGAAAACCCACGGACTTCACATTGCTGCAGTGCTGGATAACCACGGTCACACAGAATCATGTTGTACCTTTGAGGCATAAGCAATTAGAAAATAACACTTACTACCCAGGAACATTGTTTTATATCACAGTGTAATGGGTTGGCAGGCAATGCAGTCGTACAGTCGCCATGGTAACGCAGCGGTGAGTGCAGGTTAACGCATTGGTGACCAGCAGGTAACCCGCGGCGACCCCGTGCTGACCCCGTGCTAAGGTCACCGTAATGACAACAGCGGTGAGTGCAGGTTAACGCATTGGTGACCCCGCGGTGACCCCGTGCTAAGGTCACCGTGATGACAGCAGCGGTGAGTGGAAGTTAACTCATTGGTGACCAGCAGGTGGTGACCCCGTGCTGACCCCGTGCTAAGGTCACCGTAATAACAGCGGTGAGTGCAGGTTAACGCATTGGTGACCAGGTGGTGACCCCGTGGTGACCCCGTGCTAAAGTCACCATGATGACGACAGCGGTGAGTGGAAGTTAACTCATTGGTGACCAGCAGGTGGTGACCCCGTGGTGACCCCGTGCTAAGGTCACCGTGATGACAGCAGCGGTGAGTGCAGGTTAACGCATTGATGACCCCATGGTGACCCCGCGCTGACCCCGTGCTAAGTTCACCGTGATGACGTCGGCGGTGAGTGGAGGTTAACGCATTGGAGACCCCGTGGTGACCTCGTGCTGACAACGTGCTAAAAGGTCACCGTGATGACGTCGGCGGTGAGTGCAGGTTAACGCATTGGTGACCCCGCGGTGACCCCGTGCTAAGTTCACGTGATGACGTCATCGGCGGTAGTCACGTGCCGATCAGCTGATTGGAACAACAGGCCGCGCGCACCCAGGATAGCCGAGAACCGGGTGGAGAGCGAGATTCTAGATTCTAGACTCGGGATTGCGTCGTGATTAACAACGAAGGCGAAAGTGACCGACGTTACAACGCAAGAGTGGATGTAACGCGTCGACGATTCGTAATTGAACTCAGCAATCAATTGGAATCGATCGACGAGGGCTCACACAAACTCCGAGACGACACGAGCAGCAAGCAGCAGCAGCAAGCAGCTAAAACATCACCCACCACCCCCGTATCGCGCAATCAGCTCATTGGCCTTTAGCTTGTACGAATATTTAAACACAGTTTGGTGTATTTCCACGTATTTTAATCGATTTGGTTACTTTTGTAGGCCCCTATCGCGCTTGTGGCCCGTGGCGTACCGGCCCCGGTTTCGCCACCTTCCCACCCCGCTGACAGACAAGAGCTTTACAGCACATCGGATTCCTCCTCCAGAACGCACGCTAGAATTGTCACCATCATCGCCTCTTGACCAACATTTGCCGAGAGCGGTTCGCGGATGGCGACGTCTGCGGGCCTCACCTCGAACGGAGTTGCGGGTGGCGAGAGACGAAATCGGCCGCTCGTTCGCCGCAGCTGCTCAAGCGGACAAACCCCTTGGGGCAGCCTCCACACGCGAGATAAGCACACGGGCCCAGGTTCACGCAGCGAGAGAGGAGGCGACGGGGTCCCCTCGCTTCCGCTATCGGCAGAGGTGGAGGGAGAAACGCACGCGAAACCTCGCGATGACGTCAAAATGTCGTAACTTGTTGGCGGTGACGTGACGTCATTAGGGAGCATTGCTGTGCTGTTACGTCACCGCGCGCCGGATTGCGCGGTGACGTCATTGAACTGGCGGTTTATTTGGTGACGTTATTACGTCATCGCTCACTTCCCCCCTCCCCTCTCGCCTCCTCCACCCCCCCCTCCAGCTCCTCCTCCACAACCCCCTCTACCCCCCCTCCACCACCCCTCCACTCCACCCCCTCCTCTACCACCCATCCACCCCCCCTCCACCCCCTCCTCCACCCCCTCCACCCCCCTCCATCCCCCTCCACTCCCCCTCCACCCCCTCCTCCACCACCCCCTCCTCCACCCCCTCCACTCACCCTCCACCCCCTCCTCCAACCCCCCTCCACCCCCCTCCACTCCTCCCCCTCCTCCACCACCCATCCACCCCCCCCCCCCTCCACCCCCTCCTCCACTCCCCCCTTCAGGAGGGTGCTACCACGGATTCACAGTTAGCGGCAGTGCCGCTGCTGTGTGCAATCTCAGTTGGGTAATTTACAGGTAATTTTTCAGCATCGGTATGTTTGACAACAATTTAATTACATTGCAAAAAAAAAATGTGTAGGTGTAATGACAGGGTGACACCTGCTGGCCTGGGAAGGGATTCACTGGTACAGCCACACAGGTAACAACCAATCAGAGAGTGAGGTGTTTCTGGGGCAAAGGTCACAGGTGGGGGCGAGCCGAGATTCTCCGGGAACCTGCTGGAAAGTTCCACGAGAGGGCGTGGCCAGAGGCGGGGCTTAGCCAAGCCTGGGGGTATATAAAGGGGAGCGGATCCGAGGCTGTGTGTGGGGTCTTGGGTCCTGGGTCGTCGCTGCTCACCAACAACTCTCTCTCATCCGGCCACGTGGAAGATCTCCTGCGTGGGTTCCATCGTCATCATTGTCATGCCGCCAGTCAGACGCATGGCCGAGTTTGGGCGATGGTACCACGCCGAGTGATCGGCTGTGCGTGTAGCCAGTAGAGACGTTAATACCTAGAGTTATACTAGTGTTGGCCTGTATTGTGCCCAGTGTAAGTAATAAAGAAGTACCCTCTATCGTATTGGTTCTTTAGGTAAAGTCACGTAGAAGGGAAGTAATAAAATAATAAAAATAAAACACAATAAAATAATTCTCACGACGTTTCGGCCACAACGCAAGCAGCCCGTCCTCAGGTGAAAACCAGGTCCGTCGAGGCGACAGAGTCTGAATGAAACAGCACACGAGCTTGGAGCTCGTGGCCGAAACGTCGTGAGAATTATTTTATTGTGTTTTATTTTTATTATTTTATTATTTCCCTTCTACGTGACTTTACCGAAAGAACCAAGAAGATGAATCCCTGCAGTCACGAAAGCTTTAAATCGAAAAGTACCCTCTACACGACATGTCGTGGAAGTCGCTTATTACATAGGTATTGGAATAAAGTGGGGAACCCAGCAAAGCGATTACAAATCAAGGGGAGAACATATAAACTCCACACACACACAGGCACCTTGAGTCCGGAATCTAATCAAGGATGTTCTTTCCGTGAGGCACAGGTGTTATCACTCCACCGCCGTGCCACCCATCAATTTGAACGTTCAGTATTCAAACCAACCCATCGTGTCATATAATTTCGAGTGAAAGAAAGGCACTTCCAGACCGTGGGTGCAGCAGAGGGGAAAGAGTGACTGACTACCTCTTCATGCATAAATTGAATTTGAGAGGGGAGGCATTTGAAAGCTCTGTTTATGATGATGATGATTCGATTATTTTCTGGAACTCTGTTAGGCTGGCTTGGAGTCGGGATTTTCAACATGTCGCACTCAAGACAGTACACGGCAGAGGTCACAACCGGGTACCCGATACCCGTACCCTACCCGATACCCGGCTACCCGTACCCGGCCGGGTACAGGTACGGGTACCAATTTGCGACCCTGGTGCGGCCGGGTACGGGTACGGGTAGGCCGTGAGTCACTGGTGAGTAGCCGTTTGTCACTCATTTCGGGCAGGGTACGGGTAGGGAACGGGTACCCGTACCCGGCCGGGTACGGGTACCCATTTGCGACCCTGGTGCGGCCGGGTACAGGTAAGGAATCAAAACCCGTTTGCGACCTCTGGTACACGGTACTTCTACCCCTAACGATCCTATATTATTGTGCCCAATATTCTGAAATCCTACATGAGAATATAATAAGAGGTTCCAGTTAAGTGAAATGGATGTGGCGCATCAATACTAATACCGGAACCGTCTTCTGGATTGCTCTGGTGTGAAGGGGAATCATTGGCAACGTCATAATCAGTCATAATCAATCTACTGCTGGATAAAGGCCGCCCCAGGCAGTGACCGCCTCTCACGGAGAGTACGTTGAGATGCAATGAAGGATTTCGTAATAACGTGGAACAGGCTTTCGTGAAAATTACACCGCTCCGAGGCTTTTAGACACGTGCATCAATTTTTTGGCGACATTGAAAAGAAAGGCTTTTTTTAAAAATATATATATTTAAAAAATATATTTTCCTTACCCCTCTGACACACGTCACCCACTCTGACACAATGAATCCGCGCAGACGCTTAGTTCAATGGCAGTACAGCGGCATAGAGAAGAGAGAGCGAGAGCGAGAGCTTGAACTGCCCTTAACATGCCTGCACGGTCACCATACGTATATAATCTTTATACATTCATGCTGTCAGCTATTCTCTGCGATTTTGTCGCGACAGCTATGAATTTCTACGTTTGCATCAGCCGCAGATACTTGTGTCATCTGTCAAATGCGATTATCGACCCAACGGTCATGAGCGCCCGCTCACTATGCAAGCTGACTCCCGTCACGTGTGGCCAGTACGAGGACGTGCTTAGGGAG